TTATATCACTATAGACTCATAGAGGTGTGAGCAGACTGCAGAGAGTGAATCGTCTTTTTTTTCATTTCCCACGTGAATCCAGGCATGATGATGGCCATCACTGACTATAAAAGATTATTATGTAAACACAGAATTTACACATGTTTGATGTTTCCTGTTTCACAGAACAGTTGTTTCGATTATTTTTAATTTTTATTTTATTTTAGTTTTAATGTATAAAATATAATTATTTTAAACTATCCCGCAATACGCACTGGTAAAGTACCGGTCACATTTTTCAACCAATAATGTACCGCTAATATACAAACTCTGTGGCAACGCCGAGTAAATCCTCTATACTTTTATATCTGTCTGAAAAATCACGCAACTGATGAGTGATGAGTCTGTGTGACTGTGTGTGTCAGTGTGTGTAGATTATACACTGCAATAAAGTTAAACGCACAGTGACAGGGTGAGGCGGAAGTATGCGCAATTGCGCGTTGTCGTCTGTTTGTATGACTAATAAAACTACGTGTGGAATTATAAGCAGCAGTGAGCAGTCTCTCGCTCCAGTAGAGAGATGAGTCGGATTTTCACTTTCATAAAAATACATAAATAAAAGTAGGGATGATTACATTACACTCGATACACTCTGAAACGTTACCGATACTTAAAGTCATGAACTAAATATAAAGTCGCATAGTTAACTTTCATTCGAACACATATTTGCTTTTAAATTAGACAATCAGCTAACCAGCAAGTAGAAAATTTGATTTCCTCCGATTCAAAACAATAGCCCAAATCATTCACCATGGGTCGCTCTTCGAAGAAAGATAAATCACAGTCTGCACCCCCTCCAGTCACGTATATGGTTACACCACCCGAAGAAGAAGAGAAACGAAAGCAGACCGATGCTAAAATAGCTCGCACACAGAAAAATGTGGATCAAGTATGTTTCTTAGCCTGTAGCAAGGGTGTGTATTAGACCTGCAGCGTACTATCACGATTCGATATGCTGTTTGATGACTGGTTGTATGTACTACGAGAAAGAAAAAAGTTGTAACTTTCTTGATGAGACTTTGTTGATGCAAGTTGACTAAAGGGTTGGTACTAGCACAAGCGATGTGAATATGCTTAGGATCGGTACATAAGAGCAGAAGAAGATAGTAGTTTTAAGACGGTAATTCCAGGTTCAGTTGATTTGCACTAATATTGTATTCACATGCTTGCAAACAGGTGGTGGATATAATGAAGGATAACGTAGAGAAGGTTTTGGAGCGCGATGAGAACATATCAAGTAAGAGTTGAATGTCCTATAACTTGAGTTTATGACTTTATTCCAGCTGTGAGTTCAGTATATCTTCAACAGTGAAAAATTTATTTACATGAAATACGCTCGCTTCAAACTAAAAACCAGATCTAGAGTCGCAATCGGAGAAACTACACGGCAGGACGAAAGCCTTCAAAAAAACAGCCAAGGATGTCAAGGTTTTGCATCGGTGAGTACGCTGATTTGTGTTTCTGAACTGTGTTTCTCAGTACGTATGTACAAGGTATCCCTGTTCTGTAGAAGCTTATTCGATTGCAGTTTATATACGTATCCGTATCACCACCCAGTTCCAGTTTCTAGTTCCATCCAGATTCATGATATGCATACAAAACAACTAATAGTATAAAGTCTCCGAATGCTTCAGCACACAACTCTAAGCGGTTCGTTTTGGCATGCATACTACCTGGAAAAGTCTGACGGCTGCTGAATGATCTTTGAGCATGGTCACACAAATAGCAACTCAAATTTCCTATTTTTTATATCTTCACAGCAACCGATACTGGAAGTGGGTGTGTCTGTTGATCAGCGTATGCCTGTTTGCCAGCCTGATCATCGTACTCGTCCTCAAACCCTGGAATTAGACACTAGTCTTCATTCGGACTAACCAGCTCGGCATATCTTAACGCGAACTTCGCGCCGAAACAACCTGAAAAGTGATACGGGCTATGTGCACATCGAGCACTTCATTGCAACATTTCCAAGCAAAGAGTATTACAAAATACGCATTCAGGCGAAGATTTGAAAGTCATACAGCAGTGGAAAAAATGCAAGCATCTACAAATGTATCTTTGCACATCACGAGTTACTTAAAGCATAATTTGGAGTACGCATTTCGGAGCTGATAAGACTCTATCTCCTCCTCTGCCAGCATGCAAAGTCCCAGCAAAACGCGATACATACTTGTATCCACATATGTTTTCGCAACGTAGGCCCGTCCTCTAAAAATCCTTCTGGGTACATGTATCCATCAACTTAGGGCATGTGCACCAAATGACAGGATATGTGAATGCTGCTACTAAAAACAAATTGTACATATAACGACCCTGTTCCGCGCTGCGTAGCAGAAAAAAAATAAAGATATGGTAGGCATACAAGGTGAATCTACATATGATCCAATTTTTTAAACAAATTGGTATATTCAAAACTACAAAGCGAAATCGCAAGACAGAATTTCATTTAATTATATATACATAAGAACAATATGTATATATATATATATATAAATGCGTTTGTGTGTGTGTGTATGTGTTGTAGGCATATTAATAATTATTCTAACTATGTATGTATGTCTGTCTGTATGTGTGTATGTATGTATGTATG